CCCAGCGCACCCCCTTTCCTCAGCCCCAGTGCTCAGCGCGCACCCCCCTTCTCCGCTCTGAGCCCCCAGCCCCAGCGCACCCCCTACCCACTCCATCCTAAGCCCCTAGGGATGTGGGGCACACGACTCTTTACACAGCTGATCCAGATTTTGTTGGTTTTCCCTCTCTGGCATGGTGCCCGGAGCTCAGGCAGCAGCACCGCTAAACAGGGTCTAGGAACGGGCAAAGCATGCTGGGAACCCATCCATGCCAGTGAGCACCCCCCTGCCAGCTCCAACTTGGGGGGCAGAAGGCTCTGGGGCTGGCACAGAGCTGGATTCCAGAGGGGAGGGGATGAGACCCCATTCCCTCTCCTGGCTCCCCAGCCCTGAGTAGAGGGGCACTCACCACACCTGGCGCCCCCCACCCCCGCAGGGCACTCACCGCACCTGGCGCCCCCCCACCCCGCGGGGCACTCACCACACCTGGCGCCCCTCACCCCGCGGGGGACTCACCACACCTGGCCCCCACGGGGCACTCACCGCACCTGGCACCCCCCAACCCCGTGGGGCACTCACCACACCTGGTGCCCCCCCGCCCCGCGGGGGACTCACTACACCTGGCGCCTCCCCGCCCTGCGGGGGACTCACTACACCTGGCGCCCCCCCGCCCTGCAGGGCACTCACCGCACCTGGCCCCCCCACCTCGCCAGGCACTCACCACACCGAACCAGCGAGTGACGTGATCCACCAGCCAGTAGATGGGCTCGAAGAGGGAGTCCAGCAGCACGTCGCTGTTGGTGAAGGAGTTGTAGAGCAGGGAGCGCAGGCAGAGGTGCCCGTAGCGCCACAGCTGCTGCGCCCGCCAGGCCAGCCTGAACCTGCACCGCCGGCCCACGCGCAGGCACTTCACACAGAGCCGCATCACCGCTGCGAACGCCCGCTGGCGGCTCCTCATCCCTGCCGCACACAGCCTGCGGGAGCAGAGCCCGGCTCAGAGCCCTCGCAGGGAGCGCCAGGGACGTTCCTGCCTTTGCCCTGCTGGCAGCGCTCGCTGGCATGCCCAGCCTCCGGGCAAGGGGAGTGAGCCCAGCTCCTGGGTAACTCCTGCAGCTCCCCGCCCCCCATCCCGGCTCAGGTGTTCACTGGCCCCAGCTCGCTTTTCCCACTCCAGAGGCAGAAGAAACCAGAGACGGCGCTGAGGGCAGCACTGCTGGGCTGGCTCCAGGCTGCGAGCTCAGACCCTGCCAGCTCCTCCAGAGAGCCCCGCCTGGAACCGGGGAGCCCCCAGAGGGGTTAAAAACCCACACCGCCATCTCCCACCCCAGCAGAGACGGCAGCCTCCCTCCTGGGCCTGAACCTAGCACTGGGGGCTATTTCCCTCTCGCTCAAGTGCTCACAGCCCCCGTCTGGGCGAGCCCCACAAGTTATCCACCCCCCTCAGTCCAATTCATCTCGGGCGAGCCTGGGAGACAAGGCTGGATTGATTTCCCATTGCACAGACCCTGGGCGGAGGCCCCCGGACAAGCTGGCCAGTGGGTGCAGCTGGCATTGGGCGTGGGGTGAATGGGGCCCTGCCAGGCTGGGGTGCTCTGGCCTGGAGAGTCAGCTGGGAATGAGGAGGAACCTGAGCCAGTCACACACCAGAGCAAACAGATTCACCTCCTTGGGGCATGCCACAGCACATCCAGCATTGACTAGGAGAGGCTGCCCCAGGACCCCCCGCCCCGGGGCTCAGGCACAGAGCAGGGTGCAGCACACTGGGGCTGCCAGGATGGGGCAGCACGAGCCGGGGCCCTGGAGCCTAGCTAGCACCCGTCTCTGGGGAGGAATCATGCCGAGCAGCGCCTCGGGCCAGCCTCTCTCAGACCCGTCTCCTGTCTCTGCCAGCACTTAGCCTCCCCCGGGATTTGTCCCTTCGCCCACTCTGTGCCCATTTCATCCTCGATTCCTCCAGTCCCCCCATCATTCTTGTTGCCCTTCTCTGGGCTCCCCCCATTCATCCCCCGTGCTCTGATATGGGGCTGGGGGTTCTCCCGCCGCGTTCTCTTGGCTGTGATGTTCAGCTCTGCAGAATGTTTTACCTGGGAAAGGCTCTGACAGGTGAAGGGTACCGCAGCATGTTAATGACTTAGCCCTGCACAGCCCGCAGGGGTCTTTTGAGTGTAAACGGGGACGGTTTATTTAGGGAAATACTGTGGTGAATTAAAGTGCATGAACTGAGAAGCAGACGGGGGCAGCCAGGGGGGCACGCGGCACACCCTGCCCGCTGAGCTGGCATCTCCTCCAGGCCACGGGGCACAGGCTAAGGGTATTTCTGAGCCTGTCTTCGCCCCCGGTAGACGGAGGCTGTGGACCAGGGGGAATCCCACAGGCAGGGGGATCTGCCCAGCAAATCGGAGAGACAGGCTGGTCCTCGCCTCTGCCCTGGGCTGGGCCCCATCCCCTACGTGCCCAACCCCCAGGGCAGCAGGCCCAGGGAAAGTGCAGGGTCGGCGGGGGGGGGGGG